CAACTCATTTGGTGTCATCATCCTGCTCAAGTAGTAAAGAAAGTTTTCTTTCCCCTCACTATTTTCTTGGGCCAGCAGCGCTCCAACTGACCTTTCTTGTGCCGAAATATATAGTATCAACGGCTTTCCAAGTATAGGGGCTGCTGAAATCGGAGGCTTCATCAAGTAGGATTTAATGCTCTCGAAGGCATTGCTACACGCTTGGTCCCATTTGAAAGGTACACCTTTTTTCATAAGGCGACTGAATGGTTGGCACCTCCCAGCTAGGTTTGAGATGAATCTCCTACGGTCCGCCAACTTTCCTTGCAGACTTTTCAATTCGTGAATATCCCGAGGCTCAGGCATTTTCAAGATTGCATCTACTTTGGCTTGATCAATTTCAATCCCTCGATGTCGGACAACGAAACCAAGGAACTTCCCGGATGTAACTCCAAAGGCACATTTCAATGGATTCATCCTAAGTTGGTACCTCCGGAGCAACTCAAACACCATCCTCAAGTCTTTCAAGTGGTCGCCCCTCTTTCTCGATTTTACCACCAAGTCGTCCACATAGCATCCGGCATTTTTGTGGAGAAGATCTCAAAAATATTCTGCATAGCCCTTTGATAAGTAGCACCAGCGTTCTTCAAGCCAAAAGGCATTACCCTATAGCAATAAATACCCTTGAGGGTGCAGAATGCAGTAAGCTATTCATCTTTCGGTGCCATACGAATTTGGTTATAGCCTGATGAACCGTCCATAAATGACATTGCCTCGTACCCAGTAGTAGCATTGATCATCAACTCCGGAATAGGAAGTGGGAATTCATCTTTTGGGCACGCATTGTTGAGATCTCTGAAGTCAACGCATACTCGAATCTGGCAATTTTTCTTGCTTGAAACCCGTGTCGGGTATTTAACTTCACGAATAAAGCCAGCTTCAATGAGTTTGTTAACTTCGGTTTCAATCAAGGAAACCAAGTCCGACCTAAATCACCTTTGGGCTTGTTTGACAGGGCAAGCACCATTTTTGATTGCAAGGTGATGGACTGCTACTTTCGGGTCCAAGCCAAGCATCTCTTTGTAACTCCAAGCAAAGACATCCCTGAACTCCTTGAGTAACTCAATATAAGGGCTTTCTTCATCAACTTCTAGTAAAGCACTTAGGTAGGTGGGTCTTGGTTCTTCATCGGTGCCAATGTTAACTTCTTTTAAGGCATCAACTGTCGTCTTCACTCCTTCTTCAAGTTCAGGTGGAGCATCTTTTGCACCTTCATCTTCTTGAGGGTCCCCATCGTTGAAGGACATGTGATAACACAGTGAAACATCCTCCAATTCTGCATTATCCTCCATTGAAGATGGAACACCATTCTCGCCTTGTACAGTAACATGATACGAAGAACCCACACTTTCTTCATCTTCGTCACATTCCTTAGTGTAGACCACAGTATACGGTTTACCTTCAGTACCTCTTTACATGAAACCACAAGTTTTGTTTGTCGCCTCATTCTAGAAGGAACCAACCTTTGGAAATCCTTAGAGATCTTCTGGATTTTAGGTGAAGCGAATGTTTTTATGCTTTGAAAATTTCTCTGGAACTTGTTCCCCTTCTTTAATGGACCCAATCTCTCAAACACGGAAGTCCTCACAGTTGATTTTCCAAGTCGATCAAAGACAGAAGGCTTGTTAAAAGCGGCAGATTCATCTTCTACAGTGATATAATTGTTGCTCGCCTTTCGTATGGAGATGCGTACGGGTAAGGGTTGCTTGTATCCCAAACCTTCACGTGATTGCCTCGTCGCAGCTTCTGATGGGAGCTTCCCTAACTTTGACAGCTCATTGGGATTGTATCCAGGTTTTGCAAATAGCTTGTAAGCATTAGGGTCAAAACCTTCATCTGTTCGCTTTGTAGGGAGTGCCACATTCTGCAAACGATTTTGGGCTACAGACCCTGCAAGCGGCTTCGAGGACAACTTTACTGCCTCAATTCGTTTTGCCGGAAGAGTTAACTCCTTTAGCGTGTTAATTTGGAGATGAGATGATTCGCCCTCATCTTTCTTCCTTTTAGGGACATATTGGAGCGCGAGACTTACTATCTTTCCATAAGACGCAATATCCCCTCTATGAGATTTATTCGCGTTGGCATGTACCTCCTCAGTAACAGCTTTGGCTTTACCAATAGTCACATTAACTCTTTTAGTTATGGGCTCGTCATTCTTGCTTTTCATGCCATCATCAACTTTTAGCTCCTTCACAATGCGATTCTTCAAGTAGAACTTTGCATCGGCGAAGTGTGACTCTGCCTCGGTGAATGGCTCACCATCAGCAACTATCTTCTTCTCGACTTCACCCCCGTAGTATTTTAAACATTGATGGTAGGTAGATGTAACTACTTTATTCTCATATATCCAAGGCCTTCCAAGCAAGACATTGTATGAAGTCTTCGCATCGATCACATGCAGCCATGCACTTGATTGCATATCTTCAATAGTGATTCCCAGCCTGATCGCGCCTATGGCTCTTTGCCCCTCTTGGTTGAATCCTTGGATCATCACACGACTTTCTGAGAGTTCGTTCATGGGAATACCAAGTTCCTTCACAGTGCGAATTAGCAAAATTTTCACTGAGGATCCTCCATCAACCAAAGTTCGATTTACCCTTTCATCACGCATATAGCCAACCAGGTACAATGGGCGGTTATGAGGAGTGTCACCTAGCAGAAGATCGTCATTTGTGAACGTGACTTTTTCCTTACAAGCATTAACTTCTTGAGGAGTGGACTCGATAAACTTTTCCGAAGATGGTGCCAACGGTAGATCATCACTCTTTTCTTTCCCTTCGTCAGTATGGCAACAAGAGGCATCAATACCCCTATGGGAAATCTTCATGCGGAAGCAACTTGGTAAAAATTCCTCCAAGGTCACTGGATGTCGTGGCTTTTAAGGGTGGTGCACCTCCACTTTTGCTTTCTTTACATGCTTAACTGGATTCCATCTCCTAGGTCTTTTCACCATTATTTTCCTTGTTGGTTGTTCCATTGATCCTTTTCGTGGGCTCCTTTTGGGGCGCCTACGACGAGTCACCAACGTCTAACCTTCATCATCCTCAGGTTGACCATCTTCAACTTTGTTATTCTCCAATAAGTCTTCATCTTGACTTTCTTTAAAACTACATAATTCGTCTGGACTGAATGAGCCAAATGTGATAGAGACTTGGTTTGCGCTTGTTTTCTCATCTTCAAGCACGATCTTCTTTTCGCGAGCCAAGTCCATAACTTTGTCCTTGAAGACAAAGCACTTCTCCATGGGATAGCTCACAAATCGATGGTATTTGTAGTAATTTAGGTCATTTGTTTTCCTAACTTTATTTGGTCTCTTCATCTCCGGAAGCTCAATGAGATTTAACTCGAGGAGTTCTTCAAAAATAGTTGGCATATCAGAATCCAAGAATAAGTACTCCTTCTCTTGCATTTCTTTTAGAGTCAACTTTCCACTTGGCTTATCTTGAAAAGAAATGGATTTCGTACTCTGCTTCTTGCTCACCTTTGTTGTGAACTTCACAGGTAATGTGTTGACATTCACAGCTTCTTTGTTTTCAGATTTGGGTACAAACTTGCTTCATTTACTGACTTCTTGCTTGTCGTTCCCTTTGCGAGGCTCATAGATAGGCAACCTTTCATTTCCAGCGGAGGCCATGCTCAACTCCATGTCATGGGCACGAGTCGCAAGTTCTTCAAATGTGCCAGGCTTGATACCTTCCAAGATGTAGCGTAGTCCCCAATGCATGCCTTTGATGCAAATCTCTATGCCCGAAGCTTCACTAAGTTTGTATTTGCAGTTGACGCTTGCATTCCTCCAACAATTGATAAAGTCGATAACTGGTTCACCCTTTCGTTGACGAGTATTTGCAAGTTCTATCATACTTACAGTACGTCTCGTGCTATAAAAGCGATTGAGGAATTCTTGCTCTAGTTTATCCCAGCTATCAAAAGATCCAGCTTCAAGGTCCGTGCACTAATCAAAAGCATTTACTTTTACTAAGCGGACAAACTACTTGACGAGGTAATCTCCATAAGTCCCAGCATTGTTGCATGTCTCAACGAAATGCGCTACATGTTGCTTTGGATTGCCTTTGCCGTCAAACCGTTGAAATTTAGGAGGTTGATAACCAGTAGGCATCTTCATCATATTGATCCTTGAAGTGTACGGCTTTGCGTATGTAAATGAGGACTTGGAAGCGACTTCATACTTTTTTTTATAATCCCTTCAATAAACTCTTTTAGTTGATTGATTGGAATCATCCCTTCCGAAGAGACTGGAATTTCCTTAGTGGATGCAACTTGTCGTAAGGGAGGATCAATCTCTTGAACTTCTGGGAGTTTGCCAGGTGCATGGGTGGAATCTTCTTCCATCAAGATCCCCACCCTATCTGTTATTTTGTTAATTCTAGCATCTTGATTTTGCATGCATTTGGTCAAGCCAGCGATTACTTCCGTCAAGTTTGCCAATTGCTCCTCCACAGATGAAGTGTTTGTCACCATGGCTTGCATGATTGTTCTGGACGATGGAGAGTAGCATGGATTGTCACACAGGTTGATTCTTGATTGGCTCATGCTATGTGGTGTAAGTGGGGAGGATCCATCACTTGAAGCATCATCATCTTCCTTCACAGCAGAGTGCTTGGATCCGGAGAGGTCAAGTAGAGCAAGAGTTTTCTTAATCTTTTCAGCAACATCACTTCCTCCTTCACGTGCGTTCGTGGAAGATCTTGCTCTTTTTGAGGATAAAGATCCGAAAACAGGGGTTGATGCGGACAGCACTTGGGGTGCTTGTTGTCCTAACGATCTTGCTTTGCTCATCGTAACTGGTCCAAAGCTTCCAAAGGTAACATCGAGGATGCTTTCCGCATCAACATAGAACTTGGAATTAGCAGCCTTGGTGGAAGTTAAACTGGAGTTGATTTTTTCTTTGAAGCCATTTCAATGTTCTTAAACTATGGTGATTGAAAAGTTAAGATGAGAGGTAGATATTGTCCCACCGGGAACAATCGTAGTATTAGATTACGAATATTTGAGTGTACAATCTCTATGAATCCTATGATTCTTCTTTCCAATAGTTAATAAATTCAAGGGCCTTTGAGCTTGATCTTGAATCTATATTTGTTTCCACGAACGATGATCTTGAATTCAATTAGCACAAACTTTGATTCGAACTCGTACTCCTTGAATCTTGACTTGCTCTTCGTTCTTGAGGTTGAACTTGATTTCTTGAGCTTAAGTTGTTCGTTCTTGAGCTTGAACTTGATTGCTTGAAGCTGGAAACTTGTAGAGAAATTTGTTGCGTTTGATCCACGAGCTCTCTCTTGCTTCTTGTTATAACTTCTGGTGTCTTCTCTGGGTTATGAAAACCCTTACTTATAGTTGTGGGAGGAAGAGTTGTGATGAGAACAAACTCACTATAGTTGTGAGGAATTTTACAAGTATACCACGAGATTCCATCTCACTACCTTGTCAGCTCTACCATGTAGTCCCAGGATCGATTGATCATATGCTGCCACAGCCTGATGATGACAATCAGATAATGGAGTACATACAGATTGAATCAAAAGAAGAACCGGAGGATCAGGAAGAGGAGCTGGAGTATCGTCATGAGGATGTAGATCCTGAAGAAGACCAAGAGAAGGAGAGACTGGGAGGAGATTCCAAGGATGTTTATTGAGTTGTTGGTTGATTTCCATTTTGTACCCTTTAAATTCCCTAAGGGCAATCCTAGGAGCCCATGAAATCTTTATAAGCCCCGAAATCTCCTCCCGACCTCACCTGTTGGTGCTAGTTCCTCTGTTGCAAATCTGTTATCCTTATTTTTGCCCCAAAGAACATTGTAAAGGCCTAACACAATCACAGTAGCACCAAGTATCCTGCAAAAAAAGTGTACATTTGTTTAGTTTTTGTTGCAACTCTTATATGAGTTTTAAGGTTAAAATATTACCTTCCGAGGTTCATTTGAGCATGGAGAAGTAATGTACTGGTTACAGGTACCATAACCATGTTTAAGGGATTGAACGTTGTCAGGAATACAAGACCCCTGTATTTCATTATGAATCCTTGTATGTAATAAGTTAGTCCTGAACAACATATCTCCTAGATTATGACATGGAAAGTAAGGAATTTTTAATATATTTAACATGTAGAGGCAAAGTTTTTCTTGATAGAAATACTAGGAAACATTGATCTTTTAACCTACTTATATTGTACACGATCGCAAGCAACTTTGCATCCCAATGAATGCTCCACACTGCAGTCTTTCTTCTTTCCATCACCGCTGCTACTATACCTCCCTCAATTGTCCCAAGAAAGCATATCCATGTCGTGAGGGAGATTCCGACAGGATAGGTCTAGGATGTGATCGCTTAGGCAAAGAAAAAAAACTAGAGTCAGATTTTTTGCTTTTTCCTAATAACTTATCTGTAACTAAGTTCTATCTTTACCAGCAAAACTATGAAACCTGCCGAACTCAAGCACCTACTAATTAGCAGAAAATAACCTTTAATAAAATGATTTGAATTTGGGTTTATCCCACCACTTTGAGATGCATTATTAGGCTTTCCTTTTGTCCAAAGTTCAAACACAAGGCCCTGTACCAGAATCATTATCAGTATACCACCAAATGTGGCAATGGTACCAATTAGCTTGGCCAGGCTGCGGGGACTTTTAAGATTCATCATCTCAAGCCTGAATAAACAATATATGTGCAAAAAGAATTTAAATTACAATAAATACCCCTTAATACACAATGTATTAAAAAGATTAGACTAGCCCATGTAATGCAACAACACTATAGAGATCTTTAATTTCATATTCTAGACCTCAAATAACCTTGACTGTAGGTTGTAGCTGAGTGGCGAAAATAAAAAAATATTAACTGATACTAACTAAGAGTGTAAATCACTAGTATGTAATATTTTATTATAATAGGTTTTTAAGTATTTGATTTATAGATACAATGTGTGTATCTGAATGAGACAAGGGTATAATTTACTTGTACATCCAGGCCATTATTAAAGTAATGGCAGGAATAACATTGCACATTGCAGATTCAAATGTTTCTATTGTATCTTTCAAGCCTAGAGAGGAGAAAATCGGGTCGATGATTGACCTGTTGGTCAAGAGAAAGATGTGTAATTAAATATTCATTACATGGGTAAAATAATAATTTTTTATGTTTGAGAGTTACTCCAGTATGCTAAGAGCTACAATCTTAGCATACAATCTTAGCAAATATTGCATGAGTTATCTTTGGTCTTGTATTCATATGAAAAGATATTCAACTTGTCTGTTAGTTTTTATATTTTTCTTTCTACTACTCATAACTAGGCTAGAATAAAAGTTCAAACATGTTAACTGAACAACAAACATAAGAAGGGAGGGAGGGGGGGGGGAGAGAGAGAGAGGAGGAGAGAGAGAGAGAGAGAGAGAGAGAGAGAGAGACTATTACTTAGTTAACGTAACTAACAACTAAGAGGAGNTGAGAGAGAGAGAGAGAGAGAGAGAGAGAGAGAGAGAGAAGCATACTTATTTAGAAATACCACAAAATGAGCAATGACCAGAGTAGCCACCGCCTGTCGATAGAAGGCAAACACATAGGCGTTTAATCCTTTATTCAGAGCAACTTTCGACAAGATATCAAAACATGCTAGCACACATGCCGAAAGGCTGCAACAATGAAAGGTCTAGCTCTGTTGAATAAATTCTAATTTGGATGATTTCAGTTCTGCAAAGGTTTTTAGTGTTGGAAGCGGGAAGAGGAGATGGCGGATTTCATTCAGTTTAGAAAATATATCTGCTTTCACGTGAACCCAAGAAGACAAGAAATCTGTAGATTCATGTTGAGTTTGATAGAGAGAACGCAAGAGATCTACCTGGACACCCCAGTTATCAAGCCTATCTGTAGTAAGTAATTTGCCATGCAATATTAACCACATTATGAACTTTGCCTTGGGCCTTCCCTTGTTCTTGAACATTAGACTTTCCTAGTAGACTCTAGGAGCATCTCCCGACAGCTGCAAATAGATTTTTCTATTATAGCTCTTACCTTCTTTAAATATGATGCTAATCCTGTCTAATGTACTCCTTGCTTCAAAAATCTTCCTGACCATCCAACTAATTTGTTGTGGTACAGGTATATCTTCTAGCTGATGTCTTTTTATATAATAGGTATGTATCCACTTGATCCAAAGCTTATCTTGCTTATGGGCTAGATCCTAACAACTTTTTGGAATAGCAGCTTTATTCAAAAATGCAACTTAACGAGGTTGAGTCCTCATGTAGATTTATGAGTGCAAGCTTTGTCCCATGCCACCAAATAGGGTTGAATTTTGATACCAAGGAAAAGATTAATTTAATGTGAAGATAGCCTTATAATTTGATGATGATTGAGACTAAAGATAAATAATGTGTCTTCTTGGGTTCACGTGAAATCATATCTGTTTTCTAAGCTGAATGAAATCTGCCATCTTTTCTTCTTAATTCCAACACTGATAACCTTCGCAGAATAGAAATCATCCAAATGAGGAATTTATTCAACAGAGCTAGACCTTTCATTGTTGAAGTCTTTCTGCACTATGTACTAGCATGTTTCGATATCCTGCCGAAAGTTGCTCTGAATGAAGGGTTAAGCGCCTATGTGTTTGCCTTCTATCGACAGGTAGTGGCTACTCTGATCATTGCTCTTTTTGCGGTATTTCTAGACAAGTATGTTTTTTTTTTCTCTCTCCCCCCTCCCTTCTTATGTTCACTGTTCAGTTAATATGCTTGAACTTTGATTCTATTCTAGTTATGAGTAGTAGAAAAAACTATACAAAAACTAACAGACAAGTTGAATATCTTTTCACATGAATACAAGACCAAAGATGACTCGTGCAATATTTCCTAGGAATGTAGCTCTTAGTATACTGGAATAAGTCTCAAACATAAAAAAACTATTTTTTTCTCGTGCAATTAGTATTTAATTAAACATCTTTCTCTTGACCAACAGGCCAATCATCGGCCAAATTTTCTTCTCTCTAGGCTTGAAAGATATGACAACAATTTTTGCATCTGCAATGTGCAATGTCATTCCTGCCATTACTTTAATAATGACCTGGATATGCAGGTAAATTATACCCTTGTCTCATTCAGATACAAATCTTATATCATTAAATCAAACATTTAAAAACCTATTACAATGAAATATTACATACGTAGTGATTTACACTCTGAGATAGTATCAAATAATATTTCTTATTTTCGCCACTCATCTACAATCTACACTTAAGGCTATTTGAGATCTAGAATATGGAATTAGAAGTCTCTATAGTGTTTTTGCATTACATGGGCTAGTTTAATCTTTTTAATATATAGTGTATTAAGGGGTAGTTATTGTAATTTAAATTCTTTCTGCACAAGTTTTGTTTATTCAGGCTTGAGACGATGAACCTTAAAAGTCCATGTAGCCTGACCAAGCTAATTGGCATCATTATCACATATGGTGGTATACTGATAACGATTCTGGTACAAGGCCATGTGTTTGAACTTTGGACAAAAGAAAAGTCTAATCATGCATCTCAAAGTGGTGGGATAAACCCAAATTCAAATCATTTTATTAAAGGTTCCCTCCTGCTAATAATTAGGTGCTTGAGTTCGACAGGCTTCATACTTTTACTGGTAAAGATAGAACTTAGTTACAGATAAGTTACTAGGAAAAGCAAAAAATCTAACTCTAGTATTGTTATATGCCTAGGCGATCACATCGCGGACCTATCCTGTCGGGCTCTCCCTCACGGCATGAATATGGTTTCTTGGAATAATTGAGGAAGGTATAGTAGCAGCGGTGATGGAAAGAACAAAGACTTCAGTATGGAGCATCCATTGGGATGCAAAGCTGCTTTTAGTCGTGTATAGTGTAAGTAGGTTAAAAGATCAATATTTCCTAACATCTCTATCAAGAAAAACTTTGCCTCTACATATTATGTCTATTAAAAGTTCCTTACTTTCCATATCACAATCCAGGGGATATATTGTTCAAGACTAACGTATTACATACAAGGATCATAATGAAATACAGGGTCCTGTTTTCTTGACAGCGTTCAATCCCTTAAACACGATTTATGGTAGCTGTAACCAATACATTATTTCTCCATGAACAAATGAATCTCGAAAGGTAATATTTTAACCCTAAAACTCATATAAGAGTTGCAACCAAAACTATACATACACTATTTTACAGGATACTTGGTGCTACTGTGATTATATTAGGCTTTTACACTGTTCCTTGGGGCAAAAGTAAGGATAACAGATCAACGGCAACACTGTTTTAAAGGCCCAGTGTCTCATGCTCTCTTCATGATTGCGGATCATACTGTTGGTGCCGACGAAGTAATCGATGGTCGGCTCTCTTTGAAAGATATGCAAGATTGACCCTTAAAGAAGTCATATCCCCTCGAACATATTGATAGTGCCCTAAATATCTCTGCCAATGCCAACAGCATCGGGACAAGAGTGACCCCTAAATTCCCCCGAAATGTGGCCAAGACGAGAGGTAGCACATTGACATTGGTCTGCCCCTTCCGCTGTGAAAAAATCAGAATTCCCAACAATGCCAAAGAGAACATCAAAGGGCGGAGGTTCTCCCACGTTTCCCTATCACACTGAAATTCTTCATGGTGCAGATCATAGCTTTCTAGATGTCCAAACTATCGAACAACTGGTCTAGGCTTATCCACCCGTCTTTGTCCTTGGGTTCCTGTTGCTCTTCAATCTCAATACATAGAGAAACCTATGATCCAGCATGATGATCGACAGTATGGCAACTCAGTAAAGCTGGTAACTTGCTCGAGCGTTGGTGTTAGCTCACAATCGACAAACTTGAAAACCGCTTTGGCTGGATTCCATAATTCTATCAACAACCTGGTAAGCACTCTATCACCTCGGATGTTCACCAACACGTCACCACTCCAAGATGTGTCCTAATCCCATCTCCATGTGCTCGCCGGATGTTTTTCCACTATTGTTTCAGCTTGTTGGGCGCGCCTATAACCATGCTAATTTCAGGGATGTGGTTGATTTCCATCTAAAGAGAAGGCTAGGTGTTTTGCTCCGAATCCTTGGTGTCTTAATCTGGATTAATTTGTTATTTCAGAGAAGGCATGTCATTAGGTGCATGACCCGTCGACATTAGGGAAACCTTCCTACTTGTGTGTCAATACCAAGGATTGACTCACCTAGGGTGTATGCAGCATGACCTATATGAAAGAGATATACAATACATGAAGTAAAACCAAACCTGCCTTCAAAATTTCAAATTTGTGCCAATATTTCAATTAGGAAATAGGGAAATAAAGCGAGCCTAATTTGAATGGTCGGTATCGACTCTTCCTAATGGCATATCTCTAGCAAAGCTTCCAATGTGTAAAGACTTCTCACAAAAATCGTAGTAAATAGGAGAGAAAATCGAATTAAGATTTTGGTGGCAAAATTTAGTGTAAAGTATTAAATAAATAAATTAATTAATAATACATAAATTTAAAGTTAAGGGTTAGAATAATGTAGGATCAAGTACAGGCGAGGCAAAATAGCCCAATGTGATGTTACTTCCCTCTATTTTATTTTGGCAAAATAGCCTCGTAGCTACTTAAACTTATATCGGTTTGCCATCTCGGTAAATGAACTTAGGAAAATACCATTTTTAACACATCACCTCAATAGAATGAGTATTAATAAATACCTTGACAATTGACTAAGCTTATGTATGGTATAATTGATGTGGCAAAAGTGTGTGCCTATCACCATAAAAAAATATGTGTAAGTGAAGTTATGATTTAAAAAATACTTACTAAATAAAACAAAAAATTTAAGTTTTTAATTAAAAAAAAAAAAGAAGCTTTAATTCCATTTTTTCAAGTTCCCCTCCACTCTTTCTTCTTTCATTCCCAGATTTCCCTCCACTCCACTCTTTCTCCCCCCCCCCCCCACCCCCCTCCCCGCGCATCTTCTCCTCCTCCCCCTTTTCATTCACAACATTTCCAGCACAACTTTTAGCGATTGCAGAGTTTTTATCTTTTTTTTTCTTACTGAATGCTAAGGTAAAGTTTATATGGTGGCAGAATGTGGAGTGGTTAGAGGTTGTGTTATTG